AGCTTTATTATCTCAGCTTCATAGCTTTATAATCTCAGCTTCATAGCTTTATTATCTCAGCTTCATAGCTTTATTATCTCAGCTTCATAACTTTATAATCTCAGCTTCATAGCTTTATTATCTCAGCTTCATAGCTTTATAATCTCAGCTTCATAGCTTTATAATCTCAGCTTCATAGCTTTATAATCTCAGCTTCATAGCTTTATAATTTTATCAAGTCTCAAATAATTTTTATTAAAATGTTTACAAAAATTTTGGTAAATGTTCTAACTTTCACTGGCACACCCTGTAGAACATTCTACATAAATGTTAATAAAAATAAGTTACACACACTTGCGTATTTCATTATTAAATATCCAAAACTTCAGAATCACACGATTTTAAGAGCTGTACTACTCCATCCGGCAAATTTTCCGTTTTTACGATGTTGAACTTGTGCGTAATGAACTAATAATTGGATCAGATGTGCAGAGAAGTCTTCGCATCAAGTCTTCATTCGTCTTCAAACGGGAGCACTTACGTGTAAAACTTTGTCGAAATTTTTTAAAGTCTTTATGTCGGGCTTCTTGTGCCTCTTCGGAGAGCATACCAATTTACGTAATAAATAATAAAAATTATTTAATCATTCATCTTTCAAGAGCTTACAACAACGATTACATCATTGAGTATTGCACACATTAACAATAAGATGGAGCGCAAGCAACTATGTAATTTTCAAAATCTCTTTGTCATAAAACTAATTACAGTATACGCACAACTTTTACAATCTGCTTTACTTTATAAATTTGCTATCGATAAGACGTTACATAACTTTCTTAATTTCTGATACAGCTGCTTATTATACCATTCACAAATCGTGTAGAACATACTCTGGCATTTTACGTTCATGCATGTATCATACGCGTTTGTGAGTGATAAAGCTAGTCAAAATAAACTTTAATTATAGTTTTTATTTATGTACATTTCATTCAGAGTGTAATAAAAAAATACGTGATAAATAAATTTAGCATCTGCACATACTATATGAATTATTATACAAATGCAATTAAAACTACTATGTTAAAAAGCACATTTGAAATAGCACGTGAAGGTCGCAAATTACCATGCAGCTTATTATGGGGCACACAGGGGCAGTTAATTTTAATAAAAGAATTTTTGTTATCATCCCATAAGTAATTAAAAAAAATATTGGCAACATGTTTTTACATGTTTTTTAATAACACGTTTAGTTACTCGGCTACGTAGCTCCTAAAGACCCCATTTGTTACTGCTTTCGTAAATAAATAAATAACTTTGCAAAATAATTAGTTATATGTTACCATGTATTATTAAATTACAAAACTAAAATACATTTACATATATATGTAGATAATAACTTCAATTTACTATGTTATCATAAAGTTTTATGAATCGGATATATATAATATTTAAAAAGCAACAATTTGATTCTAAAGACAATGTATTAAAAAATCAATTTAATAATAATTCCAATACAAACTAACTAGTATCTAGAACCATCTAATTCTGCAAACAAATGACGTAGTGGAAGCTCATTTGCATGTAACAAACAAATTACCTATTGTAGAGGTCGTTGAAGTTCTAACTCAATCAATCATATCACACCACCCTTGTTTCCAGTGTTAATATTTGTTCCATCACAGCCAAGCACTAGTAAATCATCCAAAATGATGTTGTGTTCTTTAGAGTACGTAATAATTTGAGATTTTATAGCTTCAGCTGTTTGGCTAAGAGGAGTGCAATGTCCCAAAGAGTCCCCTCCAGGTTCCTTTCTTAAGGGTCTGGTCTTTTTTGTCATCAAAATACAACTCTGCTTCATTCTTTTTGTTGGCTTTTCCAGGAAATTTCTGTAAAATTATATTATATATTTAACTTTACTATTATTTGGAAAATGGTATGTTGTATGTGGTTACATTTTCTCACAAATACATCATATGCCACATTACATCTGGTCCTGTTCACAATTGCACCTCAGAAAGCGGTAATTATAATTATGCCTAATATTCAATTTGTTCAATTAAAATATCTTTTTTTAAAACATATTTAAAAAATTTTTTATAACTTTTTAATTACTAAAGTGTTTATTTTGGTCATAATACCAAAGGATAATTCAAACATACCTAATTTTCTTTTCATTTTGTAACTTCTACTTAAAAAAAATTTTAAAATGTAAAAACTGCGCTACCAGTAATAAGTAGTATTAGTCAAATATTGCTGCAGGAGGTAATTCTTGTCCGATTTCGCTCATTTCGGTCTCGTTTATCTAATTTTCTTATTGCTAATATAAAAATGAAAGAGAAAAGTTGTATTTCTGAAAAATGTTACTTTCACTCCACCCTAATGGACAACCCTTTATCTGTGATTAAGTTTATGTAAATTTATCTTTGTTGCACTCTAAAATAGAACTACCTAAAATACTCAACTATTTGACCAAAAAATTTTGGGTGTTAGTGAATCGAAGTTTCAACAAATTAAATGTAATAAAAAAACTACATAAGATTGTCAATGAGTCAAGAAAGAAAAGTAGATCTCGCTTTGATTTCAACTGAAAGTAAGATTTGTGATTCATTAAATTATCACGATTTAGTTAACAAATTTGCTAAAATGAAAACTCGACATGTAAACTTTTAATTAAAGTGTTCACAATTTTCTACTAACGCGAAAGAATAAAGGATTTAGTGAGAGAACATCACTTTAGACTTTCTTTAATTTTAACTGTTTATAAGTATGTTTATTTTTTTTGTTTGGAATCTATAATATTTACTTACGCTGAGTTGAAAGTGGAAAAAAATAATGCAAAAAATGTAGAAATTATTTTCATTTTTATATTGTCCATTAAACCTCGTAGGAAAAGTAACGTTTGTAGTAAAATAATTAAATCGAAATCTAAAATAATAAAGGAAAAATATATTTAGAAAAATATAGATATATATTTTTTGTTAAGGTCAATATACTTTTAACGACGATTTTTATTTTAACAATATTTAATGCAAATACCCTCATAACTCTTCTACTATTTTTTTCACCACCAAAACAAATTTTTCACCTTCATCCCTGCTGTTACTTTATTATAAATACTTATTATACATTTTTTTATTATTACAAATATGTCCAAATAAATAACAAATTCAAAAAACTTGAATAATTATGCTTTTTGGTGCCGAATTAACAATATGCTCCTGTCCTACAGGTTAATACTTTATTTATTAATTTTTTTTTTAAGGGGTGGGGGGCTAGAATTCTTAAAACGTTAGTGGCGTTAGTTTTTATACCATATAAAGTCAGTAAGTATGCCTTGTAATTATGCTTGCTTCAAGCGCTAGACTATTATCAGAGATCTCTGGCTGTTCATTTTTTTTTTTTTTTTAAATTTTCTAAAACAGAAAACTTATTTCATTTATAAATATTTGTATTAAATTTATATAGTTTTTCAGGTTTTTAGCAACATATGTAATAATAGTTTAAATCTCTTGAATAGAACCGTGACTAGTTTAGGGGGAGAAGTCCCAGCAAATTTAGGGGCCCCATTTACAAATTTAGGGGTCCTTTTGCAAATTTAAGGACCTTTTTTTTTCTTTCTTTTTTTTTTAGTAAAACCTAGTAAAAAAATTTATTAGATTTTGGGGCCCTTTATCCACTAGCCACGGCACTACTCTTGAAGGTATAATTTTATTGTTGGTATAATTTTAAGTGATTGCTTGAACTGCTGAGTCTAGTCCAAAAAAATGGGTGCGTTTATCACCCATATAAAATGCGTATATAAAAAGTAAACGCTTTACCAAATTTTAACCCGCTGAACCTAGTTATCTTTCAGAGAGAACTTATCGTTTCTGATATTCAACATTAAAAACATTATTATTAGCTTTTGTTAACCTATTGTAGTACGTCTTTAGAACAAAGTGAAGTTTTTGTAAACAAATTTTTATAGTACATTTGTTCCCAGCTTGAATCACCACTATTATCAAACATTTTCTTCTGACATAAGCACCACTAAATCTTAGTTTGGAGTTTGCATAATGCCTGAACGTTTGAATTTCAAAAAAACATAAAGCTTATTTTATATGGAATCAGAACTCAATTGCAAAATAAATGAAAAAAGTTAAACCGTGCTCTCCTTACACTTTTCCACCATTAAAAACCATCGTCAACGATGGATAATTAGACTTTAGTTGCTCTTCTACTTGCTTCTATCATTTTTCAAATATATGTTTATATAGTGCAAAATGTTGGAAATAAAATGGAAATAAAATAAGGCCTTTAATAAAACTTTGTATTTAATTTTTTTATGAAATGATACCTATTGACTAGTTTGTTTTATAAAATCTATATTTGTAAATTTGATAACTTCGTTAAATCAAATGGAAAAAAAAATTATATAAAAAAACTTGTGACCTTATTTTTTGAACACAACTTTTTAAATTATTTCTGTTCCCAGGCTCCGCTCACGGCGAATTTTTGCAAAACATTCTCATTTGACATATGTACCCATATACTTAAGTTAAGAGTTTGCACAATGCCTGAAAATATCAAATCTAAATCTTGCCATCAATGAACTTCATCAATTGTGCGTCAATCCTGCCTACGCCACTGATGCCGACATGACGTTATCTATAACCCTCTATAACCCATTTTGTTGATCCTAAAGTTTAATTAACGTTACATATTAATTACAGTGGCCTAAGCTAACTATAATTTAAGGAAAAAAGCTAAAGAAAAATTTGATTCTTCGCGCAGTTTCCATCTTTACATTGTACTTTGTAAACGTGCTTTTTAATGTGTTGTTGACATTTACAAGTGTTTCTGTCATAATTTAAATAATATTTATCTATTACTAATAATATAAAAGTTTTTTTATTATGTTTTTCTGTTTTTAAACTTTAACCGGCAAAAATACGCTGATTGTTAAGAAAAAAAAATTCCGATACGGTGTAAGTGAAAGAGAATTCTGCGTAGTTGTATTTTATCATTTGAAACCCTAATTAAAATTTAAGTACCACAAGATAAAGGAGAAATAAAAAAAACAAGTAAATAAAACCGTTAGAAGACCGAGTAAAAAATAAGCCAAAACCGTCCAAAAAAGTACTTCGTATTTGTTTTGATAACGCTTGGTCACAAAATAAAAAATGGCGTTAGGGAGGCCAAATCGTGCTATGCCTAGTCGACGCAATAGTGTTGCCAGTAATTTTATGGATGGTGGTGTACATGAAAACGATAGTGGCAGAGAATTATTTGAAGCATGTCGTACAGGAGATGTTATACGTGTTCGTTACCTTATACAAAACAATTGGGATGTAAATATGAGAGATACTGCTGGAAGAAAGTCAACACCATTGCATTTTGCTGCTGGTATGAGCTTATCCGCGCACATACACGCAAATTGAAACACACATATGCACACAAAATTACAAACACATGCATATTTATATGTGTGTTTACTGTGTTTAAAATTGTGTGTGTGTGTGTGTGTGTGTGTGTGTGTGTGTGTGTGTGTGTGTGTGTGTGTGTGTGTGTATGTAATTTTGGTTAATGTTTTAATTATTAAGTACATATTTTAGATTTTAATTATATTACTAAGCTTACTTTATATTTATGAATAATAAAAAAGTTAATGGTTAAATGTATGTGGTTTTGAATATCTATGTTATTCCGTTTTATTAGAAAATAGTTAGTCATTACTAAAAAAAGCTGATAATTATTCGAAAATTTAGTTTGTTAGAAATTTCAAATTTCAAATTTGAAGAAACTGTTGAGAAGGATTAAAGAATAGTGAAAAAAAAAATTCAAAAAATTGTTCAAGCTCTTTAACTTAACAAATCTTTGGCACAGAAATCTTGTCTTAATAAAAATATAGAAAAAATTATCTGCAGATAGTTTAGCTGTAGATCAGGATAGCAGATCACCTGCAGCAAATAATTTTTATTTGCTGTTATCTGCTAAAAATCTGCTATTTGGATAGCAGATTTTTTCAATTACATTGAAAAAATCTGCTATCCAAATCTTTTCAACATAATTTGGGCACTCATTTGTTTTAATGAAGCTAGAGCTGTTCCTCAGCATTGATCTAAAAAATATGACAATGTCTAAAAACATTAGAAGACCTGACACTAATGCTCAATGAAAAAAGATTATGATAATAAAAGAACTGCTGTATACAGGCATCTGATACCATGTTGTTAGAATACAAAGGAAGGCAAAAGATTTATACAAATGATTCTGGTAAAACTTTAGATAACCTAAAAAAATTAAGATGGCCAGTTTGATTTGGCTGCCATTAGGCTTGTTATGAAACTATACACACCTAATTTTCCATAGAACACAATGCTATTTTTGTCTGACAATAACAATGCATTCTGGAAAGCACAATTTATCAAATGCCTGCAGTCATGGTACAGACATGTGCCACATAGTTGTTGATAACTGCTTTAAAAAATTGGCCAAAACACTTTCTGGAAATGTTAAATCATTTTGGAGTTCACTTTCAGATTGAGGACTAGATAAGAATGCATGGTATTCAAAAATTATTGGAAAGGCAATTATTGTTTTACCAGAAGACGTTGCTACATTGTGAGTTCACAGAGAAGAAGTTGCGAACCAAATATGGTGGTCACAGCACATAATCAGTTCAAAGTATATGCTATCAGTGGTCAAGTATAAAGAGTTATCTTGCTGCTATTTCAAACAGGTTTTTACCGTATTTATATATTTTTGAGCACGTTTAATTTAGAATCAATGTGTTGCCTCCAAAGTATCCAATACCAATACCAATACAAAAGTTATGCATTTTAAAGTTACGTATGAAAAATATAAGGATGCATATGATTAGGTTTCAAAAAAAAAAAAAGTGAATAAGACAAACAAGAAGTAGAAGCGGGAAAGTCAAGGATGCTTCTTATTTAATTTTTTTTCAATCTTCTCACAACCCTTTAATTTTAAAACCTTGATGATCAAGAAATGTGTGCTGATCAAGACATCTGTGCTAAGAAACAAGTTTATACAAAGAGATTTTTTGGTTATACGATAAGACGTGTCCTGAACATAAAAACAAATTGTTTCATATTGTGGTGATTTTTTACCACAATATAAAACCATTGAAAGTTGATTTTTAATTTTGAATTAATTTCATATTTAATTAATTACATGCGCTGTATTTAAGGATTATATAATTTTATACATAAAAAGCTTTATCTGATGATGTTTTCTAAAATAAATATGTCTGAATATTTGGAAATATTTTAAATTACAAATACATTACTATTTTATTTAATTTGTTAATATTAGGTTTTGGGCGTAAAGACATTGTGGAGTATTTATTAGATGCTGGTGCCGATGTCCATGCTAGAGATGATGGTGGTTTAATTCCTTTACATAATGCATGCTCTTTTGGTCATGTTGAAGTAACATTATCTTTATTAAGACATCATGCTGACGTAAATGCAAGGGATAATTGGAACTTTACTCCGTTACATGAGGCAGCTATCAAAGGAAAAGTTGAAGTTTGTATTGGTATTAAGTTCAATGTTATAACATTGTTGTTAAAAATTTATTTAATTTTTTTTAATAATTTGAAGCTTCACTATATCTTTGAGTATTATTTTTTTTAATTTTATAAAAAACAAAGTATAAGTTTTATAACAAGAGCATTGATAAAGTTTGATTGTTTGTAGCAAATCACTTCTTAATTGTTTACAGGCTTAATTGTTATAGTTTATATCATTATAGGCTTAATTGTTATAATTTATATCTAGCTTAATTTTTATAGTTTATATCATATTTCAAGAATAAGGAAAACAACTTGAAGAAAAGAAAAAGGGAAGTGGTTGAATGCCTTTAATTAACACTCAAAGATATGGGCTTAAGTTTCTAAAATGTTCATCACAAAGTGAGTTGCTTGCTAAGGAAACCTGCAAAAAAGGTTAATATAAATGAAAGTAGCTGCAAAACTGTTTAGGGAATGAATGAATGAAGAAGCTAAATTTTTGCTATAAAAAACTCAAAATTTGTCCAGCATTAATTTGTAGTTTGTTGAAAATGTAAGGAGTTGTCACAAAAATAATGAAAAAAATAATAAAAAGATCTAGTTTTATAAGTAATGACATGAGCCTCTTCATACTAAGAAGCTTGCTCTTAGACGACAATAACAGTTGTTCAAATGATTAGACTTGAGCACCTAATAATGCCAAGCATTGCAACATAGCACAACATGAAAACAGATAGAAATCATGTTAAACCAAATATTAGAATAATAGTAACCAAATATGTGTATTTTCTGTTAAAAAGGTGTAGGTAGTGGTCCCATTTATAACAGTAACAGGGAAATAACAATGGTAAGTTTATGTTTTAGTTTGCTTTAGCCTTTTCATGCTATTCTAAATCAGATTGGCTACAAGTTTAAATAATACCACAATGCTAGAATGTACCAAAACTATGTTTTATTGAAGATTTTTAGACAGTTATAAAACAAGAATTGTATTGAGATACAGATAAGGTTAACTAACTAAAAACCAGGGTCAGGTACTGCTTGAGAAAATTGCGTGTCAATTTTCTCAAGCAGTAGCTTCAACAACATTCAAAAGGCTTGAATATTTCTTTACTTCATAATATTAGTAATAACTATTTCTCTTAAATGCTATTTAATATTTACAAGTCTACTGATTTAACATTAAAGTGACTTTTCTTGACATAAATATATTGAGTTTTAAAAGGAAGACATATTTGTATTTGTTTTAGAACTTTAGGAAATAATATGAAAGAAAAAGACATGTTATTAATTCATTGTATAATTTATAAAATAAATATTTGTGTTTTAGTTGCAAAAAATTTGATTTGACAATTTAAATCTAAATAAACAGGACATTATTAAAAATGTGACATGCTACAATATAATTCATCTATGACATGGGATATCTACGAAATTAGTTATATAGAAAAACTTTTTTTTAAATAAAAAGGAAAAACTTATCAAAAGTTTTAATGTTTAGCAATGTTTAAAAAACACAGTGCTCATAAAATAAAGTTCTTTCAATTTAATTGAATCGGTGAAGTTAAGAAAAGTACTAGTCTAATATTTTCATTTTGAGATAATTTATGTTTAAGTTTTAAACAGTTATAGTTTATAAACTATTTACTTTGGATTATTATGGCAAAAAATAATGAAAGAAAGATGGACTAGTATTATTTTTGTAGCACATAGATAGATTGGCATAAGTGTATCTGGTATCTGGTAACGTCTTTAAGATTATTGAATCCTTCCTTTTCAATTGTAGTATAAAAGTTGTCCTCGACAGACAGCACTCTTCATTTTCTGTAACTTCAGGGGCTCCTCAAAGTTCAATCCTTGGCCCTATACTATTTTTAATTTATATTAATGATCTTACAGATATTTTCACATCTAAGGTGGCATTGTTCACTGAGGGGGCATTTGAGCTTGAAAAGGATCTCAATTCTGCTACAGCGTGGGGCTCACAGTGGCTGGTGAATTTTAATTCAGGGAAAACTCAATTTTTTTCAGCCAATCATTATCGCAATAATTTAGATTTTCCTATATTTATGAACGGTAATGTATTCCATGAGTTGTCAATCTTAATCTTCTAGGGTCAACTCTTACTTCTTTTTCTAAGATTTTTCTTGGAAACCGTATATCAAATCGCTTGCAAAATTAGCATTCGCTAAGGTTGCATCTCTTTATCGAGCTCGACACTTTCTTACTTTGGATTCTATTCTATATCTCTATAAATCTTAAATCTGGCCTTGTATGGAATACTGTTGCCATATCTGGGGCGGATCTTCTAATGATGTCCTTTCTCTTTTAGACAAGGTGCAAAAGCGCATTGTAAACATAGTTGGACCTGTTCTTGCAGCCAACCTTCAACCATTATCACATCTTCGTAATGTTGCTTCTCTTTCTCTTTTCTACAAATACTATATTGGGCACTGCTCTAAAGAGCTAGCATATCTTGTGCCATCTGCTAAAATTTATTCTCGTGTTACTCGTCATTTAATTAAGTCTCATCTTTTTTCTGTGACTAATCCTAACTGCTCCATTTAATTAGTTTTTTTCCTTGAACATCAGTTCTTTGGAATTCGCTTCCTTCATCCTGCTTTCCTGATTCATATTATTTGCAATCTTTTAAGTTGTCTGTCAATCGTTATCTTGCTCTAGAATCTTCATCTTTTCTCTTCCAGTAACTTCCAACACTAATTATTGGTTGCTTGCAGCCTTGTTGGAAGAGAAGATCTTAAAAATAAAAAAATTTAAATAAAATCATGAAAAAAAGTGCAAATAACAAAAATTAAACTAGTACTGTTCTTCTTCTCACCATTTCAATTTTCACTTTTTTTGTAGTAACTTAAAAAATGATATACTTAAGTAACAGATTGTTACAGTGTGTTTACCTAATTTCTGTTTGTGCTTTTTTTTTTTTTTTTTTTTTCTTTAAATTCATTTCAAAAAATAGATTCGATAAATTATTTTGTATATAAAAATAGTTTTGAAACATTTTTCTCCAACCAAAAGAGAAAAATCATTTGATTTTTTTTGCTTTTCTAATAAAACCTTTAAAGAATTTCAAGTTATCTAAAGTATTCTTGAGTCCTTAATAAAAAGAGGGATAGGACATTTATTCATTTTTTGAAAAATTTCCCATCCAGCCCAAGCTTATTAAGACCCCCTTCCTACCCCCGTTTGTTAATTTTGGCTTGTCAGCAAAAACTTAATATCTCAAAACAATTCAAAAAAAAATCAGTGAAAACAGGCTTTAAAAATCGCCGACCTAGTAAATCTCAATTTGTTGAAAATGAGCTTTTGGTTTATTTCTCACCAAAGTATAAAACTTATATCAGCATATTAAATCCTATTGAAATTATGATAAAACAGCTTTTCAAAAAATGCGCATTTGACTGCAAGCCACACTAGAATTAAATACTTTTAAGTATTTAATTCTAGTGTGGCTTACTTAATAGTATGGTATTACTTAATTCAGCAAGTAATAATCTAAAAACTTTAAATATTGTAAGAAAAAAAAACAAGCTACAGTTAATTTTTTTACCAGCAACTTTAAGTAAAATTATTTTTTTTTTTTACAAAATGATTAAATAGGCTTGTATTATTGAAATATGTTATTACCACTTGTGTTATTTAAACAACTTTAACGTACATATTTTTAATGTTTACAAAGAAATTCATTTTTAGTAAAGTAGAAAAAGTGAAATAAAAGCCTTATAGGTATAAATGGTAGGTGATTCTGGTGAAAAAGTAAAATTTGCTTATTGAACAATATTTAATAATAGTCGTCGCTAAATTTTTAAAACTAATCAAGTTAAACATAAGCATGGTTTAATTACATGGTTAAATATGAGAACTATATTTTGTACATAGGCTAGCTTAATTTAAGCTCACAGCGCTGCATCCGCCAAGTGATAAAATAAATTGTTACATAGAAATCAAACAACTCAAATTTTAAGATTCAAGTTATTTAAAAGTAATGTTTTTTAAAGTATTGTTTTATTGTGGGTTGTTGCTGTATTTCCAATATTTGAACTATTGTAACTCATAAAACTAACAGTCTAAATAAATATTCACATTGCTTGAATATTTTGCTTAAATTTTTTACATTTTTTGCAATTAGGTTTTAAGATTATTTACATTTCACTCATTTACATTCTATTAAAACAAGTTTTTCTTCTTTATTAAAGTTTAAACTTTAATATAGAAATTAAGTTTATGTATTTGTATACATAAAATATGCTCATTATTTACAAATATAATAAATTCAGATAAAATAAAAAAAATCAGGTTTTAGTTTTTATAAAACTAACTTTTTTATCGAAATATCAAAATATTTAGATTTTTTCGAAATATCGATATAATCTAAATATTTAGATATTTTGAAATATTTTTTTCTCAAAGTATCAATATATATATATATATATATATATATATATATATATATATATATATATATATATATATATATATATATATATATATATATATATTTAAATATATATATATATATATATATATATATATATATATATATTTAAATATATATATTTAAATATATATATTTAAATATATATATTTAAATATATATATATATATATATATATATATATATATATATATATATATTTATATATTTATATATTTATATATATATATATTGAAAATATGCAACAACCAATGACTGCATTAAATGTGTGGAGTTAGGAGGAAGTGCAATAAACTTGATGCTGTTTTCTTCACACAAAGACAGTACATATGTGTTTATATGTGACAAATTGTCTCCGATTTGAGCGTGTTTTCCAGAAGTTTTTTTTAGTTCAGGTAACAATAAAGATTTTAACCAATCTGTTAAATAACTGGAGTCAAACTATCCACTCTTTGATTGGTTATAACGGATACTTTTTGGTCCATTTTTTGTCCAAGTTGTCTTCATCAAATCTGCTTTATATACATTATATATAGAAAGGATATGCCCTTCTGCATTACCACAATACATCAAAGATGTAGCAGACTTTGTTGAATTAATTATTCTCTCAGGATATTTTGATCTTCGCTTTGTTATTACCAGTTTTTTTACCAGGATTATTGGTTAAATTGTTTCATTGTAATTCCAAATTTTTGATAGATAGGAACCCCTGCCAATTCAGGAGTGATATTATCAAAAAGCTATTTATAATAACAGTACCTACTTCTGCCCTCATTCTTTTAATGTTACTTGCAAATCTAACACTTAATTGTTTATTCCTCTTAAGTATTGATTTTACCCATTTAACACCAGGCATATTTCCTGCAAATTGTTTAATAAACATTACTTTTTCAAAAATTTCTTCTTCAATATCACTAAATATTTTGCAACCACCTGGTTTTTTATTATGTATACCTTAGAGTTTATTCTTTATTGTTGATAGAGGAATTTTAAAGGTTAAGCAAGCATCTGTTTGTGTTAAATTACCACTTCTTACTTCTTTTAAACATTGGGTTAATGTTTCCTGGGTGTATGAATATAACCATAACTCCTAATATAAATATAACCATGACTCCTAGCATCACGTTTATATGTTCTTGGCATGTTTTCTTTGATATAAATCAGAGTTGTTAGTCCTTGGCCTTGGTCTTGACCTTGCTTTAAGGCCAAAAATTAAGGCCTTGGCCTTGAAACTGTTTGCCTTGGTTTTGGTCTTAGCCTTAAAATTTTGGCCTTGGCCTTGATTATTTTGGCCTTGGTCTTCTAATAAACAACAACATAAAATTAAAGAATTAAAAGTTTTCATTCTTTAATTTTATGTATTTTTGTTTTCAGCTTTCATATATATCTACAAGTATATTTTCTTATTGACTTTTTTGAATTGAATTATGTTAAATTGTTGAATTAAATTAATTGTCTTTTTAAATTAAGTCAGAACTCGTTCTACCGTAAAATTTTGATTCGTTTTTTTAAATGTTAATTTATGTTTTTGATTTGTAATTAATACCTGATGATTGTCGAAAGGCACGAAACTTTAAGTACTATTAAAATGTTGTTTTTTTTCATTTAAATAATATATATATATATATATATATATATATATATATATATATATATATATATATATATATATATACATGTAATGTTCTAAATATAACAACAGTTCCTTCCTAGAGTTAAATTAACATTTTATATTTATATAGCGTTGCTGCAACATGGTGCAGATCCTTTAATTCGAAATACAGACGGAAAGACTGCTAGAGACTTAGCTGAGGCAACTGCAAAAGCTGTATTAACAGGTAATATAGAATAATATAAATTTAGTATTTATTAACATAGTAATTGAATATAGATGCTTAATTATTAAAAAACTATGGTTTTATGTCATGTTTGAAAGTTCATTCAAAATTCAAATGTCTTTAATGGCTTGGTGGTGGTGATGACTTGCTTTTTGATAACAACAAAATTAGTTTGATATGTTTTAATGTTTGTATCAACTTGTACTAACACTGTTTTATGTTAATTGCTTTAAAAAAAAGAATAGAAAAGTTTAACCTACAATTTATTTGTTCGATATTTTCCTCTGAATTCAAAAATGTATGCATTTATTTCACTAATTTAATGTTTTTTAGAATAAATATTTGTCTTTATTATTTTAATCTTGAATTAAATAAGGATTTGTTTTAAATTAAGTAATAACTGTTTCTCAATTTAAGAGACCAAAAGCCTTATTTAGAACAAAAAAATGTCTTTATAAATTAGGTTTATATGGTTTTATCCTCAAATTGTGCTTTTATTCAAGTCATATTGTCAATATTAATCAACCATCTAACCGTCTGCTTGATAAAAAAAAGTTAATTTTTAAAATGTTATCTTAGCTCTGTAAAGTTAAGAATTTTTTTTTTGCCAAGTAGCCCCCTATCTTAGTTTGTAAGTAGCCCCTATCTTAGTTTGGAACTCATAGACATAATGTCTGAATTTAACTCTGGGTGGTTCAAATACTTAAATAATTGTTCTACTTTTTTTTGAAAATAGCTGTGAAATATTTTCTACATCATTAATTCATAAAAATATTTCAAGATCAAATTAAATTTACTCATGCTTAATATAGTAATATAAAAACATATCATTTCACTTTTCCAAAGATTCTTATCTAAAAGGGAGTAATAGATGTATAAAAATGATCTTTTAGAAACACAAAATATTTTTCATGATTTTTAAATGCACAAAAATACAATAGTTTTTAGATAAAAAAACAATTTAACATCAATTTTTAGATAAAAAAGCTTTGTGAAATATCTTTAGTTTATGAGGTAATTGGTATGAACCCTTACATGGGAATTTATGTTTTTTACAATTAATGACTTGTTTTAATGTTGGTAGCTGAACATTAAAGGCAAGTGTTCAGTTGCAAGAAAATCTGATAATTTTTTTTGTGGTTTTCCAATAGATCTGTAAGTTGACAGGTCAGTTGGCCAACAGGTTTATTTTTTATTGCATTAACTTAACAATATGTTGAGGTCATATGAACACATCGTTTTCTAATAAACACATTATTATCAAACAATCTGTAGAAAAAAATTCACATCTATTTTATATGAAAATGTTCTTGTTTTTTTTTTTTGGATCATATTCAATATGCCTTTTTGATTCTTAATTTATTTATACTTTGTTTGAATTAAAGACAAAGAAAAAACTTTTTTATTTTTAATAATCAAAAATTTAAACTTCAAGTATTGACAATTGGCTTTCTACACAATCAATTGTCACAAGTTTAAATTTGTTAAAGTTTGTTCCATTTTCAGAGTATATAGAGATTATAGTCAATCATAAATAGAGGAAGAAAAAAGGAGGGGTGGAAAAAATAGATTTAGTAATATAAAAAGTAAATCTTACACCCCTTTGCATCAGTTTGTGTAATGGTGAAATAAATTGCACCAACATCATCATGTGGTGCTATATATTTCATCATCATCATCAATTTATATTTGTAACTTTATTACAATTTATTAATAACAAGACATCACCATTTTTGATGATGTTTTGCTGTTAATTTTAATGATAATAAAAACTAGGATATATTCTTCTTTGAGTTCACAGACTTGCTTCTTTATGGTTAAAACAAAATATTTTTTTGTCTGTTTTAAATTAAAATTGAAGAGATTAGGATAAGTAGTCATTTTAAAAAGAAAAGTCTTTAGTTGGTTTTTTAACTTCTTCTGGTTTTTCAACTTTTTTTACAAATTAAAAAGTTGGTTTTTTAATTATTATTTTTTCTCTTTTAGGTGAATACAAGAAGGAAGAATTGCTAGACAGTGCTAGGTTTTTAGTTTTTTAAGATTTTTTTTTTTATAGTTAACAAAAAGCAAGGCCCACCTCTTTCCTCCAAAAAAAAAAAGTCACAAATTAATTTATAATGATAAATGAAAGTTTATTTTAAAACCATATATCGGGCCATATATTCAGCTTTAGTCTAAATATATTTCACTGTTTTATTGCACATATTTTTTTAAATGCTTAAAGTCTGTCGTAGTCATTGTAGGTTTCATTTACTCGTTCAAAATCAGTTTTCATTTTTTTTGTTCACCAAACAAATATCTTCATGTTCAAAATATTTTTCATTTCTAAAAAACTTCAGATTTTTGTGTCTTTAAATACCTTTAGATTCCCATCAAAAGATTGTGATTTTTTTCTTTATATTATTAAATTTTATATATTCTTATTTTAGGTCTGGGTGTGAAGAAAAAATGTTGTCTCTTATAACTTCACTTAATGTTAATTGTCATGCTGGAGACGGTCGTAAAGTAGTTAATTAATTTATTTGATTTTACAATGTTGATTTTTTTTTAATAGGAGGGTGTAAAATAATGTTTTAAAAATATGTTAAATATCGAAGGGTTTCAACATAAAAGGTTCAAATTGCTCAAATAAAAGATGTGTAAAAGATTTTAACCACAACTAAGCATTATTCATAACTAATTTTAAAATTATTTAATAATATAATTATTTAATAATAAAATGGTAAATTGATTAATATAAGTTTTGATAATATATTTAGTTAGAAATAAAAGTTTATTTAAAAGAATATTAAATAACAAGATAATAATGAAGTTCTATACAATATTTGTGATGTAGCCAATGGAGGTTGTTCACATAATTTATGATAAATTGGTAAAAAAAATTTTGGTATCACTTATGCATCATATTTATTTTTTCGGAACTATGATAAAATGGGTTTTGCAAAAATATGTTAAAAATTGGAGTAAAAAAGTGTGCATTTAGTTTCTACCCCTCGCTTACTAACTCCTAATTCCTAAAGAGATCCCAAACGTCCAACACATGTTCATATTAAAGATATTAAAAAAAAAGGTTTGAAGCAAGTTTTTTTGATTAAAAGTAAATAATGAATGCATACCGAGAAAAACTAATGTTGTTGTTTTAGCTGAAGCCCGCCTTCTCCATTTTTTTCAATAACTCGAAGTCTTTAAATTATTTGCCGCAATCTACAGACTTTATTGATTCCTTTGAAGCGCGTTTAATTCATAAAAGTTTTAGTATTTGACGTCACAGTAGACTTTTAACAAATCAAAAGTGTAATTACACAGAGCTTCGTTTTTCTACTTTAATTCAAAAAGTACGATGTAGTATTTATTTGTATTATTTTTCCAAACATCGCAAAAAAAAATTTTGTAAAATTTGCTGAATTGTATACGAATAAAAAAGGAAATATCATTTTATTTTACATTTAATTTTTGATATTGAAATTTTTAAAATGTCAGCAACAGTGTATTCTTGTACTTTTTTTTATGAAAAAAAAGTACAAGAATACACTAAACAATACAGTTGACAGTAGTATCAGATATGAAAATTCGTGAAAGAATATGTGAGACCCTGGTTTTGCATTAAAAGAACAATTAATAGCAACTCAAGTCGGCATTATAAATTTTGATTATAAGTTTTCTGTTCAATATTTTATAATCATCAAAATAAAAACATGAAGTTCGTATATTTTCGCTTGTTTTATACAACTAATATTTAACAAAAATATGGACAAATTATTATTAAATAACACAATAATTAACACATTAATTAATGGCAATAATTCAAGATAGATGGTAATTTAAATTGTCAAAATGTCATAACGTGCATTAAAAGGCATATTAAATTTGGTATTTTCCAATTTGTGTTGTATTTGGCATTTGTCTAACATGAAAAATTAAAAAATTTTAAAAACACAATTAACAAATACAAATTTTCAAGCAGTTTTCTCTTCCAATTCTCATTTATTCAAAGAAAAGTTACTATTAAGCTTTTATTTCTCTCATCTAAAAAAAGAATGAGTGACGCAAAAAAATATATATATTCTATACAACTCTTATTCATTCAAAGTTTAATTATGCAAAACTTTTCTTTCTCTTTTGTTCTACTCTTTTATAAAAAGAGCGCGCAATGAAATAAAAACTTATTTTTTTAACATAAAATTATACTTTGAGATAAAATTAAATTAGAAATAAATCAACAAATAGCAAAGCAACTAACAGATTAATCTGGGACTATTTTGATATTAATGAAAATAATCAACATAAACAATATTACCAACAACAATTATCAAATAAACAACACAATATCGCATAATTTTAGGGGCATTTTATTTTTATTGCTTAGTCATTCTAAATAATAAGTAAATTTTTCAAGTAAATATTTTAATATTTACAGTTGCAATATAATAAAAAAATGATGTTTAATGTTTATTTAGTTATTTATTTTTTACCTACATTTGTTATAAAAAACTTTAGAACCCCCGTCATTAAAATAATTTGTTTTAAATGTATTTCGATGTGATTATTCAAACTAATTTTTTTCGTTTGACTTCCCGAACTTCATGCAAAGCAAATTGAAATGAAATATCGTCTAACCAAATAAAAATGCTATTACTAATTTTATACGGGTAATTAAAGTAAAACAATTTTTTATCAGTCTTGATTGAGATAATAAATATTCATAATTTATAAACATTAAATATATGGCACAATAACAATTTATTGCAACGAACCAGCTTAAAGTGTTTGAGGTTTTTAATATCTTTTTAAATGTTAAAAATAGAAAAAAAAACTAAACAAATAATCAAAAAAATTCGAAGAAAAAATAAATAAAAATACTTCCAGAGTTTCATTTGTTAAAACTCTACCGTGATGTGAAATATTAAAACTTTTATGAATTAAACGCGCTTCAAAGGAATTGCCAAAGTCTGTAGATTGTGACGTATAATTTGAAGACTCCAAGTTATTGAAAAAAATGGAGAAGGCGAGCTTTGGCTAAAAGAACAACATTAGTTTTTCTCAGTATGCATTCATTATTTATTTTTAATCAAAAAAACTTGGTTCAAACCTTTTTTTTTAACATTTTCACAAACAAATTTTCACACAACATGTGTTAGGAGTTCAGGATCTCTTTAAAACTCCTTAACTAAATTGTTAAGTAAACTAAAAAAAAAAAATTAAATATTTTTTGAACTACAATAATATTTTATTGAAACACAAACTACTAAAATAGTTTATTTCCATAAAATATTTAATAAATATTTAATAATTATCCATAAAATATTTAGCATTTGCATTAAGAGGAATGAAAAAAGTGTTCACGTTCTTAAACACAATTTTGTGTTCTTTTTTAAAACTTGATTTTGATAGCTTTTTTTTTTTATTAGTCCACTCCACTTCATTTAGCTGCTGGTTATAATCGTACAAGAATTGTTGAAATACTTCTCAAACATGGGGCTGATGTTCATGCTAAAGACAAAGGGTAAAAAATTATTTTGTTCTTAAAATGCTTTAGTTAACAATAACTTGTTAAACTTTTTTCATTTTATCAAATATCTTAATTTATTTCTAGAACAATTAATGTTATTTATTACTAGCATAATTAATTTAATTTATTTCGAGTATAATTAATTGTTAATGTAATACCTGCAATATTATGGACGTGCTTTAATTTATCTACTCTTTTAAAAAGTTGTCATTGAAAAAGAAAATTTATAGATGTTTTTTGATTAAAATTTTTAATTGTGTTAAGATCAGGTTTATATTTAAATTTATGTAAATAATATATTAGTATCTTTGAAATGTATTTATAAATATTAAACAAAATAATTGATATATTTAGAGGTCTTGTTCCATTGCATAATGCATGTTCATATGGACATTATGAAGTAACAGAGCTGCTTGTTAAGGTAATTTTTTCAATTTTGTTTAACAATAGTTTCATAAACAATAAAATATTCAACGAGTGTTTCAATAAAATGATCTTTTAAATTTTTTTGCGAACATATAAAGAATTTTGAAATAATATTATATACAACATTTGTTGAGTAGTGTTAGTGCATTAGTTTTTTTGCATTTTTTTTAATGCATTAAATTATAATATTATTAATATTATAATAATACTATGATTGGTAAGGAAGGATTCAATAATGTTAAAGACACAACATAAGAAGAAAGCTTATGGAGAAGGCCAGCATGCCAAACCTTATCAAAAGCTTTAGAAATGTCAAGAGTGATAGCCTTAACTTCTCCACATCTGTCTAATACACGATAAAACCTATCACTTAATAATGTTAGCAAATCAGCTGCAGAATAAGAAGATCGAAAACCATATTGATGATCAGGAATCAAGTTATTAGATTCAAGATGAGTGGTTAAGTGTTTGTTAATTAAATAAGACTAGTGGGACGGTAGTTAGACGAGTCAGATTGCTCTCCAGAGTTTTTGAAAATAGCAAATGCCACTTTCCAGCAGGCTTAAAAACAAGACTCTGATAGGCTCTTGTTAAATAGTTTTAAAAGTATAGAAAACATTTCCGGAACACTTTTGCAAGATTATAACAGGAATGTTTCCGAACCACAAGCTGTAGAAGAGTCTAAGCAGGAAATCACTTTAGATACAGAAGCTAGAGTGATACAAATGTTAAGCAATAAATCAATCTGTGTGTTGGCTATATCAGGTAGAACACAACTAGTGGAATCAAGAGATGAGATTGATGAAAAATTCTGAGCAAACAGTTCAACCTTGTCTTTAGGTGAGGTGACAAAATTTGAACATACAAGTGAGGTAACATACATTTGAACATACAAGTGAGGTAACATACATTTGAACATACAAGTGAGTTAGAACAACAGATTTGCCTTTAATATTGATACTGTTAAAGATTCTCCAGAAGTCACGAGAGCCTAATTTTTTAGATGAAATATGAGATTTCATGACCAGAGAACAGCAATATTAAGTGTTAGACAAAACTTTTTTACAATGGTTTCTAGCAATAGTAAACAAATGTCTGTTTTCTGGAGAATTTTTTTGCTGATAGATACGGAAGTAACCGTTTAGATCGGAAATTGGAGCAGCACAATGTGAGGAAAACCATGGAGAAGAGTGAGGCTTGACTTGGAATCGTCCAGAGGGATTAAAAGATTCCATGTCATTCCTGAATCCAAGAAGTTACTTAAGGAGCACATTTGTCAGCAGGAAGACAAAAGATTTCTACTCAAGGGCCATCATAAAAAAAAATCCCAGTCACCTTAAAGTTAGTTGTAAGAGGTACAATGATAATGGATAAAGAAGAATCAGATAATAGTTTTAGAGAAATCAAATCGTGATCAGAAGCACCTAAGGGTGAATATGTAGAAACTGAGCACTGACTAGAATCAGAAACAAGACATAAGTTGAGTAGAGAAAGTAAATGATTTGGATTTTCTGGAAAGCGAGTTGTGTTGTTGGCCTGAATGCCTGCAGAGTCACTGTCACTACAGTCAAACCATTCAGTGTGATGAGCATAAAAGTCACCAACAACAATGATATTGGCTGAAAAATAAAAAGAAAGGGCTTGGTCAACTTAATCAGAAATAACATTGAAAAGTGTGCAGTCGTGAGATGAAGGAGAAAGGTGATAAAGTGAAGTGGTGCTAAACAAAAGCACATAAAATAATAGTCTTTGGATTCAAACCTAGTTTCCTGACAAATGGTTCAATTCTTACAAATGTAAATGCCCTGACCAAGCATGTGACTATTTGAGTCTTTTGGAATTAAAGGAAGATAACCATCAACACTAAAATCACAAGGTGAGACAGCCGAACTCAAATTAGTCTCACAAAAAGCAAGTCGGTCTAGTGAATTTTGCAAATATTTTTATAATATCTGTTACTTTTTTCTTTCCATTGCAAAAAAAGTTTTCAAGCTCCATAAGATAGCAGTACATGTATCATTCTTATAATCTTGTACTATATCTAAAAAATTATACTAAATCAAACTTCATAAATCAACTGAAACTCTCTTATATAAAAAGCCTTTTTCTTTTGACAGTGAATATGAAATTAAAAAAAAAAATGCATAAACATTAACAGGGGCTAATGTGAAACATTCTTCTTTTTTGTATAATTTTTTACTACAATGTTAAGTTGTAAATATTTTTATGCAATTAAAACTTGCTTTTAAACTAAAAAACAAAAAATCAATTTTTCCACTAATGATAAAATATCTTATAGCAATTTTTTATTATGTTGTATTTAATTGTATAATAAACCAACTGATCTTAAGGTTTTAAAATTGAATTTAAACTCGTCATCTGGCTTTAATTATTATTAAAAATGTACTACTGTTTTTAAAGTTTCAACAATCTATAACCTTTATTATGAAAATAGTTACAATTGTGAAAACTATTTCAGAGTTTTTAGGTTTTTAACTTAAAGTTATTCTAATTATTTTTTCCAGATGTTCTTTTTAAAGTAATTGATTTTAAATATTTGTGAAAATTATGCGTATATAAAAGTTTAGAGTACAAAAGTTTTTAAAAAAAATTTTAAAACTTTTATTTTCAAGATTTATTGAAAGTTTCTTGTGATACATGTTATGTTTATCTTTTTGTGTGTTTATATCGTAAAGTATAATAGAACAAACATACTATTTAGTTTATTTGCTTGTCTAGTAATTATTAATTATAATCTAGTTATTATCTGATGATTATTTGTATTAATCTAACTTTGTTAAAATTTAAATTGATAGAAATAGTTTTATAATTTCAAGATCAAGTTACAGTATTTTTATTAAATTAAATAATGCCATAGCACACACACACACACACACACACACACACACACACACACACACACACACACACACACACACACACACACACACACACACATTTTTGCAATGTGTAATTTAATTAGGAGTTATGCATTTAGAGATTTTATTTTAATGATTTATTTGTTACAATTCAGTTAGACTTTTACTTTTAAGTTAGCATCTTTTTCAATCAATTGGGCTTAGTTCTTCTTTTTATTCAGTTAGGCTTAGTTTGTAATATATTTACAAAAGTATTGTTGTTCATTATAATTTTTTGTTTTATTTAAAGCATGGTGCAAGTGTTAATGCAATGGATTTATGGCAGTTTACACCCTTGCATGAAGCTGCTTCCAAAATGAGGTTTAATTATTCATTATATTTATTTAAAAAATTAAGTGGATAAAGCCATTAACTAAAGTTGTCAACTAGCTCTAAATTAGTAGTTAAAAACATATTAAAAATTTAAACTTAACACATTTGTTAGCATTTGTAACTATATAATGAATTAGAATTTTGATTTGTTTTAAGTTTGTGAATCAATTTATTATTAGTTTAAAACTATGTATTTGCAAAAAAATCAATTTTTTTTATTGATATTTCCAGAAAAAACCTTTATCCACTTAGTTCTTCGATTATCAAAAATTTATCAATATATCAATATCAATTTTGTTTTGTATTTTTACAGTATACATAGGGTTTTGTTACATACTCAGCGTAGTTAAGGAGAGATCCAAAGAAAAGTATAGCGCTTAGGCCTTTTTATTTTCAAAAAATGCCCTTTTATTTTGTGTGCGTTTTGGTTGGTTTATTTTTTTTTTTCGGTAATTTAAAATCTATGAGTTTAAGATTTTAACTAATTACTTTAGGGCAGCAGTTATATAAAAGCTGAAACCTTTTTTTTTTGGTAATTTATTCAAATGACTAAAAAGAGATTATGAAAGTAAATTGCTATGAGAGAAAACTAATGTGAAAACTTTTATTTTAACGTTTTTACTGTTTACGGAAAGATAAAATATGAGGTTTTCAGCCATTTATTGAATATTTTGATGCTGTAAACATGGCAGCTTTTTACTTTCAAATAAAAGAGATGTTTTGGAATGTAAACACTTAACACATTTGTTTTATCTGTTTTCATGATGCTGCCCTGTTGCATTTTATGTATTTTAGTGGTAGTTTTATTTTGTTTTATACTTTGATTAAAAAAGATTTATGAAAAAATAATAAATTGTATAAGAAAAGCTTAAATTAAACTTTTTAAAAATATATAATAGTAATAGTTGAAAATATGCGAAACACACAAAAAGTTGAAGTTTAAAAACGCAAATTTTAGTTTTTAAGAAATGCAAATTTTTCAGATCTCTCCTTAACTACGCTGAGTAATAGAAGTAGATTAAAAAAACAACAACCACAATGGAATATAGCATCAGAAGATCCAGGAAAAAAAAAATGCAGAAGAATAGAAAAGAAATCTTAGCCAAAGTTTGCAATGGATTCTATATACAGTTTATGTAGCAAGTTTAAATGATTTTGATCAATGATTTTCATTATTATCTCCAAAAACTATTCGTATTAGACATAATATTAATATTGACAGTCTAAAGGAAGTTGTCAAAAAATAGAGCTTGGGCTACATGGCACTGTGGATACTTTCACTGTTTTATTGGAATCATCAATTTAAGAGAAAATAGATTTTGAAATATGTGTGTGTGTGTGTGTGTGTGTGTATGTGTGTATATATATATATATATATATATATATATATATATATATATATATATATATATATATATATATATATATATATATATATATATATATATATATATATATATATATATATATATATATATATACATACATACATACACACATATATAATTTTTTTTTTTTAGAATAGAGGTCTGCACTTTGCTTTTAAGTTATGGAGCTGATCCAACTGTGTTAAACTGTCATTCAAAAACTGCCATCGATGTAGCTCCTGTACAAGAATTGAAGGATAAACTGCTTTGTAAATGTTTTCTCATTCTATTTTATTGTTTCAATGTTTTTTTTTTAACTTTACCATTATTTACACTTTAATTTTCAGATAAGTTTAGAAGTCACAAATATCTTTTTTTAGATAATTATGAATTCACACACATCCTTTTTTTTTTAGACGAGTATAGAGGTCACATATTCTTTTTTTTCAGATGAGTAGAGAGGTCATACATATCTTTTTTAATTTAGATGAGTATAGTGGTCACACAAATTTTTTTTATTTTAGACAAGTATAGAGATCACATTTTTTTTGTTTTAGATGAGTATAGAGGTCACACATCTTGTTTATTTAAGATGAGTATAGTGGTCACACATACCTTTTTTATTTTAGATGAGTATAGAGGTCATACATATCTTGAAGCTGTAAAATCTTCAGATTTGAGTAAAATAAAAAGAATCATAGCACCAGATTTAGTTAATTTTGTTCATCCATTAACCCTTAATTCTGCATTGGTAAGTAGTAGATGACTTAGATATTTTATTTTGTTTCAAATCAAATTAGTAGTTAAATAGGAAATTTTATTTTAATTTCACATTTGGCTGCTGGTTTATTTGTTACTTTTTAAATTAATTAATATTAATTTAAAAAGTTATTAGTTAATGGCTTTATGATTTATTATGGTTATTTATAAAATTTTAAGCAATAGTAGTTTATAAAATAATTTCTATAGTTTTTATTTAATTCGTTTTTAGGTTTTCTAATTTTATTAAAGAACTTTTTATTAGTTTTGTTGTGGAAAAGTTTTTTACATGTGATTTATTAATGCATAAAACATGTTTAAGATGTTTTGTAAGTAATTTAATAAAGCATAAAGCATGTTAGTGGACAACATTAATTAGGAAGATAAATCATTTGTGAAGAATAAGATAAATCATTTGTGAAGAAAAAGATAAATCATTAACAGGCCATCTCAGGAGATACATGCATTTGCGCACCTTGAATGACCACGCATATAATTTTTTGTTGTTGAATCTTGGCCAAGATTTTTTTACATATATTAAAAATGGTGCATTTTAAAAAACGCACTAAAAAACCAAACTAATTTGTTATACTATTGTATTTTTCTATTAATAATTTGTTTTTATAATTATTAGTGAGATTTTATAATTTTTAGTGTCCCTTGTTTTCTGCCTTTAATTTATAATCCTCTCTAGCCAAGCTACCTTTCTACTTTCTTTTGGTTTCATCCAATCCTGCATTCCCTAACCAACATAAATATTTTGTTTTAATACATGTTTAAATGTTGACTATTTGATTTGATTGTTGTAAGACATAAATTTATATAAAGTTTTTTTAACAATCAGCATCTTTTTGTCTAATCCTATAATATTTTAATACTAAATTTAATGCTGCCGTTACCCATTTGTGAGTGTTTGACACTGAATTCATGGCAATCATAACACCCAAGTTATTGGCGAAAAAAAATCTCAGCACTTTTTTTATATGAAAATGTTTATGCAAATATCTAACTTGTGTATGCAAATATCTAACTTATATAAACTTCAATTTATGTAATTTTGAAATATATATTAAGTTTTACAGTTTTATCTAAAAATTGAATTGCATCAACTTTTCCTTAATTTTGATTTATAGCATTCATTTGCCATTTTAAAAAATGTCATTTGTTTAATAAGTTAATAGTTTTGAAACTTTCATTGAACAATACGCCTTAGTGGCTAAAGTGGTTAGGTTGCAGCATTGTGAAGTAAAATGCCAAGGTTTAAATCCTTGCTCTTCCACATTTTTTTTTTAAATTTTTTTAAATAAAACACTTTTGAAGTTCGATATTTTTGTAAAGTTTTGCTTTTATTTAAAAGTTGCAGCAAAATCTCCTTATTTTGATTTAAGCATTTATTTGCCGTTTTATTAAGTTTTATTCCGTCTTTTGTTTTTAAATAGCTTTAAAAATTGACAGTTTAGTTTAGACAAGGTGCAAAAACGCATTGTAAACATAGTTGGACCTGCTCTTGCAGCCAACCTTCAACCTCTGTCACATCGTCGTAATGTTGCTTCTCTTTCTCTTTTCTACAAATACTATAATGGGCACTGCTCTAAAGAGCTAGCGTCTCTTGTGCCATCTACTAAAATTCATTCTCGTGTTACTCGTCATTCAATTAAGTCTCATCCTTTTTCTGTTACTGTTCTTAAGTGCTCCAAAAACTCTTAAATAATAACAAACAAAATGAAGCGAGTTTTTATAAAGCTTAAAGTTGCAATAAACATCAAAACAGATGTAGAAATCTTTTGCACATACGTCAAAATACTTGAGTTATTAATGTGCTTGGTAAGTCTACACGTATAACACACATTAAAGAGACAACTTTTTCTCTTTTTTTATAGAAAAAAAGATTTAACATTTAAACTTTTATTTTCTTCAAAATTAAATAATGGGGCGAGATTCTTAATTAGCTGCGGATGAAAAAAAAATTAATAAAAACTTTATAGAAACTTAATAAAGAAAAAATATATATATGTCTGTACCTGTTTTTTTTAAAGAAGTTTACAATTTTACAATAAGAAGTTATAAAGTATTAAACATTAATTGTTAATTCAAAACAAAGATTTGACAGGTTTTTATTTTCTACCACTAATTATTGGTTTGCGCAATGACTACTGAAGCGTTTAAAATTTTTTAAAGTTATGTGATAAATTATTTTTTTATTTGTAATTTAAAAGTAGTGATGTACCGTTTGCACATTTGTGGCTGATGCCGTTACCAATGCCATTGGATAGGAAAAGACTGATGCCAATACCATTGGATTATTTAATTATTAAAATTATTGAAAATATGAAACCATACAATTTTAAATTGTGTAAACTTTTTCATGGAATCAGAACTTGTAAACAAATACTTGGACCCAAATTAGAAAAGATATTAGTAAAGCTCAGTTAAAATAATATACGTTTTTAGTTTTTTTAACTATGAAAAGAAAACTTTCAAAAAATAAATGCAATTTTAAAGAAAGGTTTTTTATTTCAATTTAAAAAAAAAAGTAGTATTTCAATTTTAATAAAAAGTATATACCGATGCCGATTAATCAGTACATCACTATTTAAAAGGTAGACAATATGTATAGTTTTACTTCTTACTAAAAAATATTGAAGTAAGGCATAATTATAGAAATAGTCAGTGTAGAATAGACCAAGACCCATATTTTACGGGTCTGAAATGCTAGCAATATTTATTCTGCAAACTCCAATATTTTGATATGTGCAAATTTTTTTGCACCATTCACAATCCTTGCAAGATGTGAATTTAATTAGAAATATTTAATATATTAAGCATGGTTTCAGGAATAGAACCTTGCGGTCATCCGACCACATGGGTAACCTCCCCAAACTCCCAATTGGGTGACCAGGCAGTTTGTTACTTACAAAAGAGTGTTTATTAATAAAGCTATATTTTGAACTATGATTATATAAAGAAACCTTTAAAAAAATATTTAGAGTTCACTGCGTTTAAAATACAATTACGGTGCATTATATAATTTTACTTTAAATGTAATTAAAAGACTTGAATTAACTTAGACAAGCTTTTTTTTAAAAAAAAAAAAAAAGAAGTTGTTGTTGCATTTTGGAGAGCGTTTTCTTTTCAATTCAATATGTGAATATATCAAAAAAATGTAAACGTTAAAATCGCGTTCACGTTTTTTTCTCAATTCAAAATGAGTTTCAAAATTGCAGTTTCTTCCAATTCAAAATGCTGACTTATCATTTTACAAATGTAATAGTCACATTTTGAATTGTGTGAATGGGTATGTAAATAATTAATAACATTAAAGCTTTAGTTTTTTGTTAGTAAAATAAATTTTTATTTAAACTTTGTCAAACAAAATTAACCATAATAAAAACAATTAATAATGCAAGTGGAAATTTTTATCTAAAAAAAAAGTCTTTGTAAATTAAGTTACATTAAAAACTTAATGTTTTAAACATTCAACTAATTTAAACTTGGTTTAAGGTTGAGCGAGAGTAATTATTTTTATTCTTTTTATTTCTTTTTATACATTTCAAATAACTGATAAAGAAAAATAAAGAAAGTATTTAAAAAAGTTCAAAGCTTCATAAAATTTAGGATATTGGAATATATGCTAAGAATATAAATTTAAAATCAAAAAATCAAGCTAAAAAAATTTGTGATAATAAATCAAGCTGAAAAATTTGTGAGCTTTAACAGTGCAACAGCTTTCAATGTGTTACTTTTTTAAAAAAAAATTTAAAGATATTTAAGACTAAAAAATCAACTCTTTTATATATTTTATTTGCACACAGTTTGGTCCATGTGTGCTTATTAATACTTATAGTTTATTGTAGCAGTGCTATATAAATTTGTATATTTTCTTCACAACATGTATTAACTTAAATCTCTAGAAAATATGAAGTTATTATTAACCTATATTAATTTTCACTATCCACCCTCTGATGCAGTCTGCCTATATACATATATGTTCAAAGTTAACTACTAAACATGTTTATGTTTTATTTAGCATGTATGTGCACTTTCAACCTCAGCAAAGCGTGATCGCGTTGCAGACTTTTTAATAAAGAAAGGTTGCAATATGAATTTTTGTAATAAACAGTAAGTATATGTGTGTATATTTCATAATAATGTTTCACTATTTTTGTTATATTAAATATCTTGTTGTGTTTGTGTGAGTATCAAACTACTCAAGAGAAATAAAAATGTTCAAAATGGCTGACTAAACAAGGTTCTCTCATAGTTCCTAAAAGCTTTATCAAATTGTTATCAAACTATTATATATTTATAATAAAGTAACAGTATTAAAAAATAATATCTATAAAAGACTCTTAACAAGAATTAAGAAAAAAAAAGATCTTTAATAAAGATCAATCTCTAAATAATAATGACCACTAAACCAATAAACTCTAAATAATTTTTTAAAATGCTTTTAAAACATTGTTATATTTTTAGAAAATTGACACCATTACATTTGTGTGCTAAATAATAATGACCACTAAACCAATAAACTCTAAATAATTTTTTAAAATGCTTTTAAAACATTGTTATATTTTTAGAAAATTGACACCATTACATTTGTGTGCTGGTAATGACAATGTTGTCGTTACTGAAATTCTTATAAAAGCAGGGGCTGATGTAAGTTTTTTTGTGCTTATATTGAAAAAAATTACCATTTAAGGTTTGATAATCATGTTACCATTTAAGGTTTGATAATCATGTTACCATTTAAGGTTTGATAATCATGTAACCATTCTTTTAATTTCTATTATTTCATCTAATTTTTAAATATGTATATTTTAAACAAAATTTTGTCATGGCAATGTTTTTCAATAATAAATTTTTAATAATTGTAATTTTATATATTTTGTACAAATATAGTGCAATATTGTTAATGAATCTTTGCAAAGTCCACTCCATATTGCAGCGCAATCAGGTCATGCTCATATTTGCTACATTTTGCTAATGAATGGAGCTGATCCAACTATTCGCAATTCTAGTGGATATACACCTGCTCAAGTTGGCACTGAATCGGTGCAAAAAATTTTCCAAGGTATAAAGCAGAAAATTTTTATTATAATAGAAATATATTTATATATATTTATGTGTGTGTGTGTGTTATATATATATGTATATATATATATATATATACATATATATATATATATATATATATATATATATATATATATATATATATATATATATATATATATATATATATATGTATATATATATATATATTAATATATATATTAATATATATATATATATATATATATTAATATATATATTAATATATATATATATATATATATATATATATATATATATATATATATATATATAAATATATATATATATATATATATATATATATATATATATATATATATATATATATATATATATATATAATCATTAATGCAATTAACTTTTGATAAGAAAAAAAATGAATAGTGAAAAATCTTTACTTAAGCATATGATTATTTCAGTATGGCATTATTGAGTATCTCTGTATGATGTTTTATGTGCAACCTAATTTACATTACATATATATATATATATATATATATATATATATATATATATATATATATATATATATATATATATATATAAATATATATATATATATATACATATATATATATATATATATATATATATATATATATATATATATATATATATATATATATATATATATATATATATATTTAGCAAGACTTGAACCGATGTTAAAAGATGTTGATATTAACCTTTTGGAAGCTTCTAAAACTGGAGATTTTGAATTGATTCAGGTATTTTTAATGAGTTTTTAATGAGTATATTTAGGGTATACAGCTTGCAAAACAAGAAAAGTTTATATTGTCATGAGTCATCGAGTACAAAACAGCTAAAATCTAAAAAAATTTTTGTAAGCTTTTAGTAATATTTAAAGTGTATACATAAATTTTTTTCATAGAAATTCTTTAAAAAATTTTGTCAAATAAGAAGAATTTAATGATTCCAATCTAGAAAGCTTCTATTTTCTAAAAGTCTATTTTTCTTTTCCTTTAAAAAATTCACAAAAATTTGACAAATTTTTCATAAAACTTCATGTTTTTTATGTTTTTTTAAAAAAAATTTATTCTTGTTTAAATCATTTAATTTAATCCTCATAAAAGTTATACAAATTACTATTCTAAATTTTGATCTCAAAATATGAAAATTTACATTCTTTAATCTTAAAATGGCATCAACCATATGAGGTTGCGATCATTAGGGAGATGCTACTTGTAATTATAAAGTGAGTCTCCCTTAAAACCACTCTACTCCCAGTGTATTATGATATATGACAATGAAACATAGACTACCAAAGTAGATGATAGAATGGTAGATTTTAACTGTAGATGAAATACTGTCTGAAAAAAATGAGCAAGATAATAATCAGATAAATCTGATGTGGTAGCCTAAGAGAAAGAAAATCAAGTTGTAAGAAGTAGCATAATTAGAAACTGCCTAACTTATGCAAATCAATCAATCCTGAGTTGGTTAATATATGAGCTCTTCTCTTTATATGCTTATAAGTTTCTCATAAGTTTTTTATTTTTTGTTTTGTTAGATTTTTACTTTATATTTGGGATTATATGACCGTTTTGGACCAGTTTAGTCCATGCTAAGACAATTTAAATTAGCTGAAGATTTTTCTCCTATTTTAAAATAGTTAACTTAAAAATGCTATCTTGGTTATTTTTTGTTTTTTCTTATACTATTCTTTTGATCAAATTACATAAAGAAAGTTGTTATTTTTATAGTCACTTTGCACACCTCAAAATGTAAATTGTAGAGATGTTGCAGGTAGAATGAGTACTCCTCTTCATTTTGCTAGCGGTTATAATCGTATGGACATTGTTGAGCATTTGCTGAGGTGTGGAGCAGATGTACATGCAAAAGATAAAGGGTAATCTAAAAGTCTAATAAATTTTGTAAAGAATATAAAAAAAATCGTATTATTTTTTTCATTATATTTTAATAAAATTTAGGGGTTTAGTTCCATTGCATAATGCATGTTCCTATGGTCATTTTGAAATTGCTGAAATTCTTGTTAGGGTAATTTTTTCTTATTTTTGTAAGTTAATTATTAAGATAAAATGATTCATTTCTTTCAACATTTCTGACATTTAACCAAAGTTTTTTTTTTAATTATTATATTTTTATAAAGTATATATATATATATATATATATATATATATATATATATATATATATATATATATATATATATATATATATATATATATATATATATATATATATATATATATATATATATATATATATATATTAAATTGTAGTCAGTCAATGTTGAGTTTTTTTTTTGTTTTACCAACAAGTTTTAAAGCATTTTTGAATTGCTATATTTCTTTTTAAAATTTTAAAGCATGGTGCTAATGTCAATGCAGCTGACTATTGGAAGTTCACACCATTGCATGAGGCTGCTGCCAAAGGAAAGTTTGATATATGCAAACTTCTTTTAAAGGTATTTCTATAAATTAGCCATGAAACTTTTACACAAACTTAACATACAGTTTATATTTGCAAAATGGTAATGTTAATGTGTAAATCTTTATGGTGATTAGCAATTTATTTGTAGTACTAATTATCCATACTAGCAAAAAGCAACCCGTAATACGGGTTTGGGTCGGTCTGTTACATAATTAATTTATAGTGGTTGTTTTCCACAATTTAATGTTGCAAAACCTTAACTAATACCCTTTTAGAAAATCGCCTTCAGTTTGAAAAAATTAATCCATCTGTAAAATTAACATAAAAAGTATGAGGAGGTAAAATAATTTACAAACTACTACTTTTACTACTACTACAAACTACTACTACATTTAAAATTACTACTTAACATTATTTGAGTAATTTACAAATGGCATAGGTCATAACAGTGTAAGGCAGAACCATTTTCATCGACCTTCCTAAGTTTAACACAATACGTTTTTAGTTACTGACACAAAATAATAACACTTCGTCATGCTTTAAATTGAAGAAAGTATCAACGAAATCCTTGTAATAATTTTTATAACACGAACAATTAAGATAAAAATAAAGTTAAAAAGAATAAATTATATTATACAGCAGTTATCAATTTTTTGGTATCCCCTTGATTAATTTTTCTTTAGAAAAGAAAATTTATAACTTAAAAATGTTTAATGCACACATTTAAATAAATTTATTAAAAAAAACAAAGTTTATTATAAATAACTAAGCAACTAAGTACAAATACAAAAAAATTTTCAAACAAAAAAAATTTAATTTACAATCAAACATGGATATAATAAATTTGAAAAAATATGTAAACTTAATGCATCAATGCATCATATGACAAACCTAAAATAAAAATTATAACAGATAAGTAGACATAAAAATTTGTAAACCAAGCTGACCTGACCCGGGTCTTGTTAAGTCTGTTCAACACAGACCATTTCTATATTACTTGTTTGGCCTCTTTATTTCATTAATTTTTAGTAAACAGTATTTTGCCACCATTTACTAAAAATTCCATTTTTAACTCGAAATTTAATTTTCTTAAATATTTTGACTCTAATAAAGAGGTTCCTCTTTTTGCTTTAATGGTGACCAGGTGAATAAAATAAAATAATAAAATGTAAAACAATGATATAAGAAAGAAAACATTCTTATACATATATAAGAATGTTTTCTTTCTTTCCTCAAAAGTGTTGCTAATACAGACTAAGCTAACTAATTAGTTAAACACATAAATAAAACTTGAGTAACTCGATATTAATGGGCAAAACTACAATATTCTCCATGTTTTTAAAGGTTTTTGGTTACGACCCCCCCCCCCTATTTACAAAGATCCCCTTAAAATACGTACAATTATTAGGCATAAAATAGATAAAATATAAAATTAACTAATAGCATATATTTATATCTTTTTAACTAACAAAAATTTACAATAAAAAGAAATCAGGTTTTTTTATTTTATAAATCTTATAAATGCGTCATAACGTAATTCTAAAAAAAAAAGTAATGAAATTATGATATCATAATTACAAAGAAGAAAAAAAACAAAAACCACTACACAATTACCGAAAATCGATTTACCTATTTATAGTAACCTATTTTGAAATTGCAGTTAAAGATTTATCGAAAATGTAACTATAAAATCTGTTTTGAAGTACAAAAGCATTAACAATACTAAAAAAAAAATCAAACTAAGATATAAATTGTTGTCTTGGCTTTTATAGTTTAAACATATATACAACTATAAACAAATATGACTTTATAACACATATAAACACATTTTACAACTATTGAATGATAGATATATATCAAAAACTATGAAAAAAAATAAATAATGATAAATAAAGTTATATATACAAAATGTGCTCACAACCTTTAACAGTAAATTTTCGAAATGAAAATCTCAAGACTATAAATTAAGAACATTAAAAAAAATAACAATATTTATGTTACATTTTTTTACCTACTATATCTTAAATAAGATGTTTATCAATTTTGAAAAACAAACTATTAAATGCTCTAGTTCTTGAAAATGCAACATATAGTTGACCATGAGAGAAATACGGTTTTTGAGATATTTCTTTTGTCTATATTTTTAATTTCGCGTTATGTAATATATAGACGATCCCTAAAATAAAATACTTGAAACTAAAAAGATTTTATTTATTACAATAACCAATAACAACCAAGGGACAATTTAAAGAATTATATCTTTAAATAGCAAATTATCAATCACAGTATTAAAAAATACGCAAGAGCTCAGTAATTACATGAGTTTAATCTATTCTCTCTATACTAATTCTTATTTAAGTCTCATCTAAGAGAGAGAGGAAGTGTTTTAAAAACAACACGTTAGAAAAAGTAAAAAAGTCATGCAATAAATAACAGTAACTGGTTTTATTATGCTACCAATAGACAAAATTATATTTACCTTAACTAAAAGTTAATTTCCAGCATTTCTTAGTTAAGTTCCAGCTTCTCTTTAACTGTTGACAAATGATTAGTATTGTAAATTTCACATCATATTAAATTTACAAAATTAAAACCATGTTTCAACAGTAAGCAAAATAATCAATTGATGACAAAGACAATTAAAAAAAAATGAACACAGTTATGTTTAAGATTACAAATAAAAAAAAAAAAAAAAAAAAAATCATTAAAAAATTGAAACTGTTATTACTTGTTACTATAAATAGTAAAATTCATACTTTAAAATTAAAATATTAAAAATAATAAAATTCATATTTTAAAGTGTCTAATGTAAAATCAAATAATAGACATCAACACTGCTTGACACTAAATTCTGGCAAAAAAGTTTTCTGTTCATCAAGCAAAATTTCTTATATTTCAACGACAATTAATTTTATCACGCCTAGATCTATTTCTTTCATATGACAACAATTTCAAGTCACCTATAACCATTTACACTAATAACTTCTTCGAGCCTAATATTATACATCTGTTATTATTAAATATATTACCAGTGATTATACTACTGATACAACTGAATAAATGAACGTTTTATATTTTTACAACTGAAAAGTGTAAAACAAAATTTTTGACATTATTTTAATTTAGCAAAGAATTTAGACTACAATGCAAAGTTATTTTTACCTTCAGGCACAACCTTAATGCACAAAAATAATAAATGCAGAGTCTTGTACAGAAAATGAAGCAATGTTAGTCTAAAGTAATATATATATATATATATATATATATATATATATATATATATATATATATATATATATATATATATATATATATATATATATATATATATATATATATATATATATATATATATATATATATATATGTATATATATTCAAATTTTTCTATTCTTTTTAATTTTTTCTATGAGATAATATTTATATAGATTCAGAGAAATATAAAATATTCTGATATATAGGCACATTTATGTATATAAACTTACCTGTCAAAAATTACAGTCAGTTTTCCATGTTAAATACATAAAATATCTAATATAAAATTAAACAAAACATTAAACTTACTCAAATCAGTAACAGTTCGACTGTCTAAAAATTTAAAGTGACTAAAAAGCACTTTAGCTCTTTCCAATTGCACTAAAAAATAAAATAAATCTTGCTTTTTTTTTTTTTTTTTTATTTGCATTTACTCCCAACAAGGCTGCAAGCAACCACTATTAAGTTGGGAGTTACTAGGAGAAAAAAAAGAACAGAGTTATAGAGCAAGGAAACGGTTGACAGAAGACTTGAAAAGTTGAAGGTTGTATGAGTCAGGAAAACATGAAGATGGGAGAGAGTTCCAAAGGATTGAAGTGCGGGGAAAAAAACTAGATGAATAAAAGTTTTTAGAGCATGCAGGGACAGATACAGTAAACGAATGAGACTTAGCTGAATGACGAGTAAAACGAGAATGAATTTTAGTTGATGGAACTAGAGATGATAACTCCTTTGAGCAGTGACCATGATAGTATCTGTAGAAAAGAGAAAGAGATGCAACTTTACGACGATGGGAAAGAGGTTCAAGCTTAGCAGATAGTCCAGGTCCAACAACATTTACAATGCATTTTTGGACCTTGTCAAGAAGAGAAAATGAATCGTTAGAAGAACCAGCCCAAATATGACAACAGTATTCCATACAGGGACGAATAAGAGATTTGTAGAGGTAGAGAATGGAATCAGAAGTAAGGAAATGGCGAGCACGATAAAGAGAAGCAACCTTAGCAGAAGCTAATTTAGCAATCGATTGTATATATGGTTTCCATGAAAGGTCAGTAGTAAGCGATAATCCAAGAAGACGTAAAGAGGAGGACTCAGTAAGAGGATTGCCATTCATTAATATAGGAATGTTGACCATATTGCGGTAGTTGTTTGCAGTAAGCAATTGGGTTTTTTTAGAGTTGAAATTTACAAGCCACTGTGAACCCCAATCTATTACTGAAGTGAGATCAGATTCAAGATCAGCTGCTTGTTCTAGGCGATCGAAAAGAGAAGACTTTTTGTCAAGACAGGAGTATAAAGTTGAGTCATCAGCAAAAAGAGCTACTTTAGATGGAAGGTTGTCAGGAAGATCGTTTATGTAGATAAGAAACAAAACAGGGCCCAAGATGGAACCTTGGGGAACCCCAGAAGTTATTGGAAATAAAGAAGAGTGTTGGCCTTCAAGGATGACTTTAATAAACCGGTTAGAAAGAAATGATTTGATAATCTCAAAAACATTCCCAGAAACACCATATGAAGCAAGCTTATGGAGAAGACCAGCATGCCAAACTTTATTGAAAGCTTTAGATATGTCGAGAGCAATAGCCCTAGCCTCACCGCCTCCATCTAATGCACGATAAAATCTTTCAGTTACAGCAGTTAGCAAGTCGGCCGTAGAGCGAGAGAATCGAAAACCGTATTGATTGTCTGACAGCAGTTTATTTGACTCAAGATGAGATGTGAGGAATTTGTTGGTCAAAGACTCAAAGACCTTGCTAATAACAGAAAGAAAACTGA